ACGAGGTGTGCAATCTCTAAAGGCACTAAAGGATCAATTTCAATAACTGTCGTTCCATGCAACTTGACTTGGTCTGTTGTGTTCATATGTATCTTTGATGTCACTCTTTACATTGTTATTTTAGTAGTTTAACAACAAAAGTAAGTTTAAAGTCTATTAATATTTATACTGCTGTTCAGAGCTTTGCGAGCAGATTTTCATATGCGTACTCCGGGTTACACGCACGTCCCTCTAGTCACTGAGCTAAACGGCATATACACCGACGATAATCTCAATGTATTTATCTAATTTTCATTATTGGCTAGAGATGGTACTAGTGGTTACAGCGCCGGGCGCGTTAACATTTCGTCAATTTTTATACAAATTTGAATCAAAAGTTGGAATAAAAACAATACGCATTTTTGGGATATTTTATATGATTTTTATAAATTACTCGCTGACCCTGCAAACGTTGTTTTGCAGGTTTTTTTAGGAAATTTGTAGGGTACAGAAAAATGTTTGAGATGGAACACCAAAGGTGTTACTTACGGGGATGAAAAATGGTAACGACCGATTTTCAGACATACCGAATATACTTACGTATAAAAAGTCATAAAAATCGATCTAGCCGTTTCGGAGAAGTTTGTGACACGAGAATACGATACGATGTGAAGGTTTCCGCGATTCAGTTTTTCCCTTTACGGCAGAGCAAGTGGTACTGCGTACTTAAAATTTCAATAAAAATATTCCATCGGTGTCGAGACTGGTATTACATACGAAGTAAGAATACTAAGTAAATATTATATACTAAGATCGGTCTAGTATACTGAATTAAAAGTGTGACACTGAGCTACTGCTGAGACGTGGAACAATTTGCCATCGTGAGTCCGTATTTCTGTGTGGCAAGGAAGAATAGATTGTCGCCGTCTTTATGTATTAATCAAGTACGACTATATCATACCTAATTTATAAACGAGGGGTGCAGCCGATACGGGCGCGGCCTAGAATTCTTACTGAAATAAAAGCGTACAAAGAGTATTTCACTCGGGGAGTGAAATACTCTTTTCGTATCTATAGTATAAAGCTTTAATATCATTGAAAATATTCTTTTAATTTTTCTGCAAAGTGGGACTACGGCCGCCTTCGTTTTACTGTCTTAATATAGGCCCTTTGCCCCCTTTTTTTAAGTGTGGATAAAGTGTAAAAGTCACCAGGAGCTACGTCTGGACTATATATAGGTTGCGTGGTCAATATCTGCGAATCCATTACAACTCCCTCGCTATCCCAGAAAATAGTCGCCATAATTTTGGACACCCACTTTTCCATTTAAAATTTTAGTGATGGCCTCTCTCATTTATTATCCATTGCGTGTACTTTTGCTTTGATTGTGGATCTTGGAACCTTTATTCTTCAACCCAGGTTTTATCAATTGGTACATATTGGTACCAATTCCAAATACTTGCGGCTGGCCAAACGTCGCTGTAGTCTATTGGTGTGAGCTTGGTGGAGCACGGTACCTAATGCCAACTATTTATTTTATAAGCAAATATTCTTATAAAGTTATGTTTAATTCATCCGATTTGCCCTTGGCTAATCTGTAGCTGTTTTTCAAACACACACAAAGGTCATCTTGATAGGTCTTTATTCGTTGTTGAAATAGCCAAACAACTTTTAAACCATCAAGGCCCAGACAGCTGTAGAACCTACGAAATATCTTCAAATATTCTTTTGGTGTTTTCGTTTTTACATGGAACTTAATTACCTGGTTCTTGAAAATACGTGAATTTCCAGATTCCGTTCACATGGTGATGATATTCTTCAATGACATTAAGCAGTAATGAAGCAAATTTGAAAAAGGGATGTTTATTTGTAGGTACTATTAATGAGTTGTTCAATTAGTGGCGAGGTGCTGCCTCTTCGGTAGTACCTTGCCGCGACTTTACCCGCCGCGCCCTCATATATCACCTGTGATATTGCCACCCGACAGCTTCTACTTTTGCACTATTTTAGTTGGCAACCCCGTCGAGAGAGTACACAGATAAAAGTTGAAGTATGTACGCCGTTCTTCTTTGGTTCTTTCCCGGACGGACTTGCCCATTCGTGCAACGGCGAACTGTTGTCGCTGATTTGTTTTTATTACCTTCATAAAGTTGTAACATTCCCTTCAGCTAAAACATTAATTAATAACATTCATACGTATATCTTGTACATACGTACTTCAAATTGTTCACCAGTGTTAGGCTGCCATTTTTTAAGCAAATCACTTTCACAGAGTTTTCCGAAGCGCGATATCTAGTCCAGCTATTCGCATTATTTTCATTTTGTTTGAAACATTAATTATCTTAAAGTTCTTTATTACACGCGTAATTTTTTTAAGCTTTAAAAAATTTTCAATCTTATTAAGATCAGAAGCAGTGCTATTAATAGTAGTTGGTTGCACTTATTTTAAACGGTTCAATTATTTTTTGTGCAACTTGTTAGACCGGTTCTTTGTTATTTGAGAATATGACCTTGAAAATAAAATGCATTTTGTGAATACTGCATTTATTTTTCTGTTATTTTAGTTATACTATAATAGGGAAAGGGAAGGTTGAGGCTTTGTGTACACGCAGCCTTGTTTTGTTTAGACATTTGACCTCTTCGGAGGTCGAGTTTGATTGTTAAGTCTTTCAGGGTTACTTATTAATTTTCCACAACAATTTTGATTGAATGTTTTGCAGTAAAACAGGAAGTTGATTAGTTTTAATAGACTGTGGATAAATTTTAAAATGTTCCGTGCCTGTTACCTAAGAATAGTTTTACTTAATGATTTTTTATTTTCCTTATTCGACACTTAATACTTGAATACAGCACAGGGGTTTTGTGTTTGTTAGTTAATAAATAGGGATAATTTTTCAATGCCTTTATTTCCAATGCCTATTTCTTTCATGTGCGAGTTCATTAGTGTTTAGAATTTAGAACGAATGAATGAATTTAGGTTTCAAATTACTCATTACTTTCAACACAGTGAATTTTGTAAAAAAAAAACGTACGTAATAGGACTGATAGAGTATAGCCGCATTTTTTTCTATTTTCTAGCTATAGTAATTAATACAGCGTTGGTATTTATTTATATTTCTTTTATATTTACTGTCAAACTAAGTGGTAGGAACATTTTAAATCATAAACACTTCCAGACCAACTATCGATGTGAGACGGGAGAACACGCGATAAAATGATTGATCAGGTTTGGCATTAAAGTTACATGATCTTAATTTTTCATGTTATAATATTTTAAAAACATCCCTTAGTTTAAATATCGATTATGAATTAAGATTATGATGAAAATCTCATTGTAAATATTACGATTATAAGACCATGTTCTAAAAACTTACCCATTTCATATTGTGCAATGTTTTAAGTCAAATGCAAGATTTTCTCCGTGGTAGCAAGATGAACATCATCATTTTCAATGTGCGATGAATGCAAGTGACCTGAGGGCTCACCTGATGTTAAGTTAATACCGCTGCCCATGGACGTCTAAAACTCCTATGGGGTTTCATATGTGTTGTTTTAACAATAGCTCCCGGTCACATAACAGGTCGAAACGCAAAAGTATGAAAATAAGTAATTTTTCTACTTCACTCCGGGCCGTGGATGGGTATCCCAAGTGAGCCGCCATTCTTACCACAGTAACAAACTGTGGTAGGACCACGCAACAGTCTTCACTGTTGCACGAATGGGCAGGTCCGCCTGGGTAAGTACCGCGACCTCACAGAAGGCCGGCGTAAAGTAGAAGTGTTACACTTCTGCGTTTCGTCTGGTGAGTAAGGTAGCCGGGGCCCATCTTCATCAAACGAGCCGCCAGCTCGTTTGCCGCTTTATCACATAAAAAAGAAGGTTTTCTTAATTTCAATGTTTATAAATCATTACACCATACAGAAAACTGGGTACTTTTGTAATTTCTGTAACATAAAATGTTTGTTAAAAAAAATTATAATCTATTTATTAATCGGTTATCAGTCCGTTTTATCTAACCTGTTTGTTCTCTTTCATGGATGCAACACTTGAAATATGGTACAAAGACTGATCATTCACAATAGACTTAAAATTTTCTATTAGAAACCCACTTCAAGATGAATAGACTAACTAGCAGTTGTGCTATTTGAAGGTTGTTTTCTTGACGAAGGTGGTTGACATCCTGAAGCTCAGCAATCAGGTGCAGGGCAATAATCCATACAGATTAATTAAATTGGAGTTTTTTTTTTTGATTATTTTTTGATTATATATAGAGATGTATATATAGGCACACGGTACATATATACCAGAATATTTTTTTTTACAATTTTTGTCTGTCTGTTTGTTCCGACTGATCTCTGAAACGCCTGGACCGATTTAGATAGGACAGATAGCTGATGTAATTAGGAGTAACTAAGGCTACTTTTAGTTCAGAAATTTTATTTATTGTTATTAATATATATAATATAATTCCACGCGGACGAAGTCGCAGGCTCAGTTAGTGTAGAATAAATTATTCATGCGTTGCTTAAGAAAAACCACATGGTACCAGCCATTCTTATATAGGGAGGCTTTTCCAAGTGTATCCATTTTTTTTATTAAATTCTAGACATAATTAATGTTATATAAAAAATTATAAATATTTAAAATCTCTCGTGATTAATGAAATACATTCATTTGAAATTATATCTTATATATATATATATAGATATAACTTATCTTAAAAGTGCGTGATTTATGGCAACTTATTTATTTTACGCGCGATCATTCATGTGTTAGTTATAAGCACACATGACAAGTTCGTTTCAAAAGTATACGACGTAAGTATTTACGAATGACTTCCGCATTGTCACAACAAGTTCTGTTTTTTAGGGAAATGAAAGGCAATTTTTTAAAAAAAAAAATGTTTGTTTTTATTTCAACAAACGATTATACTACCGAAATTATCTGAACCTCCTGTGTGAATTTGGGCCTTTAGAAAAGCCACCCTGTATATTCGATCGTAAAGACATTTCCCCCCGCAGTGCGCTCAAGTCGCCACCAACGTGGTGGAGCAGAAGCACCAAGTGTCAAGAGCGAAGCGGGGCAAGGCGCTCGGCAGCAGGGCGTTTAGAGGCAGCACCGTCTGGTTCACCGGGCTCAGTGGTGCGGGGAAGACCAGCATAGCTTTCGCGCTGGAAGCGTATTTGGTATCTAAAGGTACTTATGTTATTTTTTAAATTTTTTTTTTACAGTTCTAATCTCTGCACTTAAGATCACTCAAGAACATTGAAAATAAACTTCGGGGAAAACGTGGGTTCGATTCCCTAAGCGGCGACAATCTTTTCGCACTTTTTCAACGTATTTTCAATTCTACATATTTTTTTTTCTTTTTACTTTTAATGGCGACATCTCTAGTTAGAATTATCGTTGTAAAACGATATTCGAAATTGTTTGTATGCTGGACAGGATATAACAATGGATGCGCCAAGCAATTGCTACAAATGCTAAAAAACAATATAGATAATTTCAATGATTTTCAAGGGTATGTTATTTTTTCAAAATTCCCCTCATTCTTAACGCCCTACGCCTAAAGTAACCACCACAATAAATCTCACAATTGATTCATCAAGGTTTTTAGCATTGGTATAAGCAGTCTTCAATTCAAAGCACGCGTCCTCTAATCGATCTAATCGATGTATGTGAATATATTAGTTTTTTTTTTAGTAAATGGGCTTTTGTGAATTTATTGAACATAATTTTTAATTGTGGTAGGGACACGCAACGGTCCGCTGTTGCACGAATGGGCAGGTGCGTCCGGGGAAGTACCACAACCTCACAGAAGACCGGTGTGAAGTTGAAGTGTTATTACTTCTAGGTATACTTCATTAAAAGGCGGCATTACATCTGCAACCCTAAGGGTGTTGCAAATGTCCATGGACGGCGGTTATCACCTAACTTCGGGTGAACCGTCAGCTCACTTGCCACCGTCTCACATAAAAAATATTTATTATTAATTGTATCTATATTTTACGTCAATGATGTAATGTAAGCGCGATTAGATTAGATAAACGGATTTTACAAACCCTCAATATCTCGGCTTTATTTTACCTTCTAATTTATTGATCTTGCCGCTGTTATCTTTGTTGTCTTCAAAACTGTATCAAATGAGATTAGCAGACGGAATACAGATCTGATAACATAAACTCTGCTGGAGAGGAGTATTCAATGAAAATGTTTTTTGTATTGCTAAACGCGTATCAGAAAAAAAATATTATTGAACCACTGCAATTGCGTCTGGGTAGTTCAATAATTACCATCTAATGATGTCAACTGTGAGAACGTCTCTCATGAAAAATAAAAATTCGTAGGTACAGTTTATACGAAAAAAAATTTGGCTTTGGCGTGTTTTAAAATTGTACTTTTATTATGTATACAAACAATTAAGGTCTGATTATTAATTTAGAAGCGATATGATGCAACATTAGGTAGTGTAAAGGGTATATATACCATATAACACCTTTGGCGACTGGCATTCTTGTTGAGGAAAATTATGCATTCGAGTAACTTGACACCACACGTGTCCGTATAAATATGTAGGTACTATGATTAGTTATAGCTATGCAGTGCTAAGTAAAACCTTTCCCGTTTGCTTATACTTATTACAGCTCTATTTATACTTTTGCTAGGAAAACGTTTAAATCGCGCCCAGTAAAGATGTAATTGACCGGTTCCAGTCACGTGTTTTAATGTGCAATTTAAAACTTAGCCCATTTACACGATGCCATTTTCTTGTACATACAAGAGCAATAATTGAATGCAATAAATTAAGCGCAATAATTGACCATCAAGAATTGTAAGCTACTGTTTACACGTAGATATTGTAGAAAAAATTGAATGCGATAACCGAATGCAAGTCTTGACAAAAAATAGTTGCAAATGTCTTTTGTTTACACTGATACAATTATGTTTAGTAGATTATTGCTTTCAAATTTTGACTTGTCTAAACACATGCTTTTATGTGCGTGTACAATTTATTGGCATGTTGCTTCAAGTATTGCACGTATCTTCATTGACAAAATATTTCATTCAAGTGTTGAACGTTTTAAAAAGGGCTGTTTATTTAAAAAAAAAGTGTCAATAATAAGTGTTCAAGTTAGATTATGCCGATTTAATATACATATATCATTGAGATTTATTTCTTATTATCCATATATTACTATCCAGTTTTGTATCCTAGGTTTTTTAAGACTTTTTCTCAATATTTCTTGCCTCAAAAGAACAGCAACGATTAAACACCCTCACTCATCGCACTCATGTTTGCAAAGGAAGAGAGAATGCAATTGAATACAAGAATTGCTTAAGAAAATATTGTGCGTGCTGCTTACACCAAGGAAACAAAACTTGAAGCAAGTCTTGTTCAACACTCAAGAATGTTGTGTTGTTTAGACCATGCAACTCATTTATTGCTTCTATTTAATTGTATACAACAGGCAAGAAATTCGCACCATGTAAATGGGCCTTTAGAGTTGTTTGCAACAAACATTCGTAGTCGTTCTACGTGTCGTACTCGCTGAGTGATAGACATTACCACCGTGGCTCGTGGGTTCGATTCTCATCCGGGACAGTCCCCCACAGACAACTGTTTCGAATCAGGCCGTTTGTCCTTTTTGTTGAAGTTATACTTCTTTTTGCGCGTTTGGATAAAAATATGAAAGTAAAATTTTTACGACACATGATGAAATTGGTTGCAAAGCGACCAACATCACGGTTACTTTACATTCCAAGTTACTTAATTAAAACGTTATAAATTATAAACCGTTATCAATTGCATTTAATATATTTTTCACAAACAAAGAGTACTGCCACAAGGGTAAACGTGGGTAAAAATCATTCTACAGTAAGGGAAATATTAATAGTAAAAATAAAAATTACCAAATTAGACAATCATCTATGAGCGGCTTTTAATCAATTCAACTAATTTGGTATTAGATTAGAGACATTTTCGTTTAAGCAAAAAGCGTCGAGCGTTATTTAATAAACTGTTAATTCCGTAAACTGTATAGAAGCGCATATATCACTAAATTTAATGATAAACAGTAGTTATGTTATAGCGTATAAACTTTATTTTGAAAAACTGTAGTTTTCAAGTGCACCACCCTCCAAAATTAAAGGAAACACTTATAGTATAAAGACCGTATAATTTAAAGCTGTTTTTAGGATTTGAAAGTTAATGTTTTATACAGTTTTATTTTTTTGACATATTTATAACTATTTTTCGTTAACGGCTGTCATCCTATCTACAGAAGTTTTGAGCGTAAAAATAACGATATTTTTATTTATGTAAGAAGATTGCAAGCGAGCTAGCGGTGCACATTCACTGATAACCGCTACTCATGGACATTTTCTGCACCCGTATGGTTGCAGATGCGTTGCCATATTTTAATAAAGTGGGCCCATGGCTACCTAACTCAACAGACGAAACGCAGAAGTATAGCAATTCCTCTTCACGCAGGTCTTCTGTGAGGTCGTGGTACTTAACTGAACGGACCTGCCCATTCGTGCAACAGTCGAAGCTGTTGCGTGGCCCTACCACAGTATCTAATTGTAATTCGCAATTAATTACATCTGACTACTCGGTGATTATTATGGAATAGAAATTACCTAACATAGCACAATGGTATATCACTACTTACGGTATCGAGTTGCCATCCGCTATTAAAATATTTAAAACAATAGTAAAAGTTACTTACATCGTAGTTGCATAATATATTTCCAATATCTCAGTTCCTTATCATACGTATGTATCGCCGTTGTTTTTTTAGTTGATCAGCATGTAATCAGCTTTTATCTTTGAAATCGGGTACCAAATTAAATAGTAACGCGTAGATAAAGTTGCCAATAGATTATCAATTTCAATGGGATTATTAAAAACGAGTACGACATGAACTTTTTATAAAACGAAATAAGAAATTCGAGACAAGAAGCGAGTATTATTAAGTACAATCTGCAACGAACGGACTTGGAGTGCGATAAAAGTTTAAGCCGATAGTCATAGCCATAGATTGAGGTGTTCAATTTAACTATTTTTAACGGATGTATTATTAACTGACTCCAAAAAAGGTTCTCGATTCGACTGTATTTTTATTATGTTTGTCACCTCAGCACTTTCGACTTAGTGAACAGAGTTTGATGATGCTTGATTACGGTGGTAGGTCCACGCGGCAGCCTCGGCTGTTGCAAGAATGGGCAGGCCCGTCCGGGTAGGTACCACGACCTCACAGAAGGCGTCAATTGGAAGTATAATTACTATCGCGTTTCATCTGGTGACCGAGGCAGCCGGAGCCCAATTTTCAAAGGCTGTCAACGCATCTGCAACCCTCAGGTATAGCTGATGTCGATGAGCGGCGGTATTCACTTAACATCAGGTGAACCGTCTGCTCGTTATGCAACTTTTCACATTAAAAAAATCTTTTTTTATTTGGAAGCTTCCCATGTGGTGCCATTATTTCATTTGTATTGGGTCTTGGTTTCAGGAGATACTTAGGGGGAAATCATGAAAATCAATTATAAAATCAATACAGTGCGAGATATTTGAAGTCGGTTTTCTTTTTCGTTATTAAAAAAATGGATTTTTTTTGTAAAGAAATTTTGACTTTGAGAATACTAAATTATTCAAAAACAAAAAGGGTTTAAAGTAAAAAGTAAAGTAACAGCCTATACATGTCCCACTGCTGGGCAAAGGCCTCCTCTATATAGAGGGTATCAGGGCATAGTCCACCACGCGGCCCCACTGCGGGTTCTCTATCTCTGCCTATCCATCTCTATGATATGTGTGAGACGACTCACAACAAACAATTTTGGGTGGCAATGTTTCAGGCGTTTCCGTTGGTATATAATTTCCTCCATAAATATTCATCCCTTGTTCTTAGGTATTCCTGCGTATGGTCTCGACGGGGACAACATCCGAACGGGGCTCAATAAGAACCTGGGCTTCAGCAAGGAGGACCGGGAAGAGAACATCAGGCGCGTGGCCGAAGTTGCCAAACTCTTCGCCGACAGCGGCGTCGTATGCCTTTGCAGTTTCGTGTCCCCCTTCGCCGAGGTACGTGAACCTTTAATTTTATTCATATCTCGCTGGTGGCTCGATGACTCGACGGTGCGGTGCAGTCATCATAGTCAAAATTGGGTAAGAAACTCCAAATTTGAGATACAGTAAGGTCAACTGGTATAGTCCCGGTCAAAACACGCGACGTGTATACTAATAGAGCATACACCCTACCATATGTAGGTTTTAAGAAAACTTTTAGAATGCCAAAAATACAAGATTATACAAATATTCAGCTGGGTATCTCAAACTCGTGAGTACTTTTAAGACAAACGCCGGAGCTCCCAAATTCGGAAATTTGGATGTTCGTATAAGTACGTTAAAATTAAATAAATTTGGGAAAAGACAGTATTATTTCGGCTTCGTATAGCCTTCGAAACATAAAAAAGCATATCTAAATGCCTTTTTATGATATTGAAACAATCAACATCAATAAATAAAATTAATCAGTTTTATGTTTTATTTGTATATCATTTGATATAGGGTCTTTAAGACTGCTTCGAACGATTTATTTTATCAGATAGGTCTATGTGTGATAAAATATACTTTGTATTTATAATAAGTTGCATAAGAATTCATAATTTTTATTGCATGTGTTTTTTAAAATCGTATCCAATCGATGCGTGCGAGCCACATGCATCTTCATGCACGCCTTTTAAACCCAACTCAAACTTGTATGCGTCTTGGTGGCCTTGGTGGATCCAACGCAACGATAACTTGAATAGCGATTACAAGCTCCAGGCGTTCCTTGAATAAGCCACCATAAGTCCAGATATCAAGGATTCAAAAGCAGGGACTATTAAACAGCCCCAGCAAAACGTCTTCAGCGTGTATTTTTGTTATCCACTCAGTCGTGGTAAAGACGATGAAAAAATTACTGTATTATTAAAGAAAGAAAGAAGGAAGAAAATAAAGGACGCACAGAACAAAAAAAATTTACAAAAAAATAAAGGAAATATTTTTTTTTTTAAAAATATACACAAGATTAAAGAAAACAAAACAAAATCTGTACATAGAAAACTATGGCGATATAAAACTTAAATTATGCGTACATTATGTGAACTCGTGTTTTCTGACGATCGATAATCCATTAATATAATAATAGGCAGGCATTAGAGGGAAGGACCGTCTAATGCCTGCCTATGACAGATTGATGTACCTTTGTATTGTAATAATGACCATAAGTCCATTATATTCAGCTTCTTTACTCTATTCGTATTCGCCAGATAACAGCTACCGATCGAGCCGAGGTCCGGCCCTCTCGGGCACCCTCGAATCGGAATGCTAAACGCGTTTTGAGTGACAGCCCAAGCCGAGGTCCCCTCCTGGGGACCCTTGAGCCTGATCACTCCATAGAGCGCCCGCCAAAGCGCCCTAAGAGCTTGGCGGCCTCCCAAACCGGTGATAATAACAGCGTGACGGCCCGAGCCGAGGTTCCCTCGGGAGCCCTCGAGCTTAGTCACCATAACGTCTCTCCCTTAGGCCAACAGTGGCTCATCCAGCCCAAAAAAAATTCCAGAGACATCACTGGAGTCTAATTTTTTATTTAGATTAAATATATTGGTTATTCCTTATTAATTTTTCAGTTTTTTGACTCCATTATCATGCTTTATCTCATGTTTCTACCAAAAACTCCACAAATTATCTCGTAAGACTCAAAACTTTCTCATCCAGTGATGTTCGTTGATCCTGTTTTTTGTTTCCATGAGCACTGTTGGTAAGACCGAGGGTTACAAGTTCTGTCCCTGTTTTATATTCATGTATGGCTCGTACCGTGATACCTAGTAGATAGTGGCTAGAGTTGAAATTCCGGTGTTAGCGCCAATGAAATTTTTAATTTTAAGTGCCGATTTGTTTCGTGCTCAGAGGTGAAAGAAAACTTCGTGAGGAGACCTGCATTACTTCGAAATAATAACAAAATAATTATGTATGCATATTAAATATATGTGAGATCTACCAATGGGGTCGCGTGGTGGACTATGCCCTAATATCATCTGTACAGAACAATAGAATCTGGACTTTGTCCAGCTGTGGGACATAATGCTGTTACTTTACTTTTTTATAGTTACTTCTACAGGTTCCAATACTTGGACACAATGTAGGGATTGTCCATTACGTTCTTGGAATGATGAGAAAGTTTTTTTTTATATTATTTACCCAGAGATAAAAACTGATATCCAATTTGATTTTGAAATCTTCACGCATGTTTCTGTGCCAACAGCATTTTCGAGAAGTAATTTCTTCAACATCTTGTTATACCATATTCGTCCTTTGGAATTTGTATTTTTACCTTACAATGATTTTTTACCGCTATTCGCGAAATTTCTTACAGTAGATGACTCCTAAAATCTATGAAGACTGCTTTCAGCTTACGAATGTTTGGGATGATTTTATCTATCCCATAGAATCTACAACCTTTTCTTCATTATACTACCATTTTAAATCTATCACAAATGGTTTTTAACTTAAAATCTGCGCAGAGTTGCCAAACTTTTTCTTTTTTGATTGAGAAAGAAATTGTGCGCATTTCTGTCCTCTATGGGCCATACTGTTCTTTCGTATTTGGATTCATACAGCGAGAGTATATGCTGCAAATTGGGTTTGGTGAACAAAGGCTACCTTCCAGAAACCGTCGATATGTGCACTCAATAGTACTCAAAAAGCCCACTTCACTCAAGCACTGGTTCTAATTATGTAAAATGTAGCATGGAGTTTCCGTTGTAAATTTTGTGGAGTATTTTTTTTATTAAAATGTTGTACACAGAACATTTTGGAGGTCGATTAATATCGATAAATACTAAAAGTTGAGAAATAACCTTGAGAGACGTTAAAAATGAGGTAGATTTACATCTGTATCTTTTAAATAATTGATAATAACTTAAGATTGGTGTACTTATTTTCCATTTAACTGTTTACCTTATTATCAACATCTTCACAGTACAATGAACTTTAGCACACTTGCAGCGCGAAATGACTACTGGTGTCGTCAGATGAATGACCCACTATAAAAGGGGAAATTTTAAGCCAGAAGGAACCTTATCAGGCCGACTAAATCGTTGAACCGTAGGAATATTTCGCAAAGTATTGTGATCTGTAAACGAAAATAATGTAATAACGTGGAAATAAGGTAATGAATAAAAATTTAGAACGTTAGTGTTAAAATGTTCGTCTTATAAATATAAACCAGATAGTTGTTTCGCATCTGGGTGTTTGTTCGTGTGAAAGTTTGTAAAACGTCCTTACAACACAGGATAATGTTATCCTAAAGTAAGGGCAATGTTTCTAAAAAAAAACTAAAGTCATTTCTGTACAAAATGTAAAACATTCAGAAAATAGATACTTAAATATTTGTTATTGGCTTTGTGTTGTAGACATGATTTTTTCAAAACTTCTCTAATATACACAGAACATGTTTATATATAATCAGCAATTGTAACATGATCTACATTTATTTGTTGGCCATATGTGTCTAAAACACAAACAACACGAAATATCACTAAATCTAAATGTCTTGTCAGAACATGGGACCTTCTATTGCATCCAGTAATTGGCAACAAATTCCAATGGGGGGATATGGAGAAATCGTTATTATTATATGGTTATCATATTTACGCGTTTTTGTGTCGGCCTCTCTTTGGCCGTAATAGTAGAATGGTGCTATATAATGATATGCTTATAATCGTAAACTTTTTAACGGTTAATACTAACTATACACGTTAGCACGTCACATTTGCAAATTGGCACTCATTAGCAACGAACATTGAAGATTAATCTACATAAACACAACATGTTTAACAAATTTGCGCTCTGTGTAGTTGTAATACGCGTTTTTTTTGGTCAACCACTTAAATTGGGACAAGTCTTTGTATGGCAATAGTAAGTTTACGATACATTTACGATATGCTCTTCTAAATGCTGTTAGTTCAATGCTAAGTGATGAATATATTTCTTTTGTATACATTTACCCAACTCTTACATGATGTGTTCGCTAATAGTGGAATATTCACGTATGTAATTTATTTATTTAGATTTATTTCTGTAGAAAATGTTCTTTAGAAAGTTTAAGTTTAATGTTCTGTTTGCGATCCGAAATAAATAAAAAAAAAGTTGTGAAGGCTCAGTGTCTTTGGGGGCACACTTTTAATTCAATATGCTGAAGCAACCTGAATTCAAATCTTAGTGCCGGTACCAATGAAATGGTTAATTGCAGTTTTTAGTGGCGTCTTACTACAATCAACAAGCAGTGAGAAAAAATCAGATTAATATTTAAAAAAAATCGAAGATATGTGAAATCGGACAATCCGAGGTGGGTTTGCTTGGTGGACTATATCCTAATACCGTCTGTATGGAGGAGGCCTTTGTCCAGTTGTGGGAAATATATAGGCTGTTACTTTACTTTTTTAGTTTTAACCAAACTTTTGTGTCTATTACTATGTTTAAAAAAAATTCGGGTTAAATAATTTATAAAAGTCCGATAGTCTTCGCTTAAGAAATGAGTCCAATATATCACCCATGATTCATACATATTGAGTACTTTTCACGCGCATTAAAAACTTTAATAGATAACATCGATAGCACTGTTTATCCTGTTGTTGTGTTAAGAAAGAACAAGCGAAAAAACGAAAAACGAAAAACTTGTAATTCGCGTCGGAATTTCAGTTACAAATGTAAATTGACACTTGTAATTCGACGCGGTATTTCAGTTACATATATAAATTCCAGGACCGCGAGGTGGCTCGGCGTATACACACAGACTCGCAGCTGCCGTTCTTCGAGGTGTTCGTGGACACACCACTGGAGGTGTGCGAGCAAAGGGACACCAAGGGGCTTTACAAGAAGGCCAGAGAAGGGCAGATAAAGGTGAGACTTCTACGCACCGATTGCAGCTTGTACTATGAAGTTGTTTATGGGCGCTTCCGATTTGATTATATTTATTTATATTAAATGGATGTAACTTGTATGTTGTTATCGAATTCGATCGATGCAGGTGGCTCAGGATCGTGCTGTTTGTGGGGGAGGCCTATGTTCAGCAGCGGACTCAAACAGCGGGCTGAAATGATGATGATGATGATGATGATTAAGTTGTTATCCAATATAATTATTAAGTACCTGAGGAACTTTTTTTGGTAAATCATGTATTTTGGAAATAAAAAAAATAAAAAAACCAATGATTTATAGGTATAGAAAAATAAGTGTGTAAATGATCGTAACACGAACCGTGGCCGTCTGTCTTGGAGCCGCCCGATTACCGGTCGAGCTATTATAAAATTTTTTCACCGAATACTTGAATAATGAGGGATATTAAAGAGTTTCAAATATTGGAAAGCCATCTTGCTACTCGCTTCGGCAACTAGAACACGTGCTCTAAATATGTGGAGAACATAAATGCATGTGTATGTTCATACATTATATAATTCGCACAGGAGTTATTACATATTTAATTTTATTTTTAGTTGCAGAAAAAAAAACAACAGTTTTCGACGTTTCGTCTAATCATTTTAGTTTTATTAATCGATTCTAAAAAGTGTATCTACTTAGAAAAACTAAGGACCTATCAAATTCTTATTATTAATAGCTAAAATAAGTCGAAAACATTACATTAAAACGAAAAAGAATCATATATTTAACATGTAAAACTTGATATTAAATAATTTATACTCTTGTATACGCCATAATTGATCCGCCAGTTATTTTGATCGTTACTGTTAGTATAATTATTTCAGAGTTTGCCAATGAATGTTGTTTAAATAGAGAACTGCGCTCGAATGTAATTATTTCGCTCAATGTTAATTTGTGTATACATTCCGTTGTTCAGCAGTCGATTGGTGTTCATTAAACGTGTACTTTAATGTACTTTATATAAAAACTAGTTGTACACTTCTTTGGTTATTTTTAAGAACTTCGGAATAAATAGAAACACAATCTTGTTCAATGTTTATGTCGTGAATAAATATCAAGTCAGTCCGTTGTTTAGATTTTGAGTTTTGTGAATACAAACATACCAAAGCTATATAATGTATACACCGTGTTAAAATGGAATATCAATATTTGTTACGTGATTAAACTGGGAGGGAAAGACGATTACTGTCCATAATAGCAGTAAACGCCGTGTAACTCCATATGTTACTATCTTAGTATGTAGACAAAGTCGACGGCCTTTGTACGAAATGACAATCACAGATTACATTGTTCGTTCACATTCTTGTTTGTTCATTTAATTACTATGACTGTGTGTTGCTGATGATATAATGTTGTCAATTATACATTTCGAGTAGTTTTTCGTTAAACTAGAAAGCGTTAAAAACAAAATATTTTTTTAATAGTTAATAAAAAATAGCTTTCGTGTTTTTACTTTCACCTCCAATTTAGGCATTTGTAAAGTTTGAAAGACAAAACTAACGTAATTCCTATTGATCTAGACCACATCTCGAGTAGGAGTATTTTTTTAAGTACCATTCCCTACTTGTGCAACTAATGTAAACTATGCTTATGCAGTAGATAAATGTACTGAAATGAGTTTTGCCCTTAATAAAATTTTTAAATTTAAAAATCTATTTAACTACGGCAACGGAAATCATGACATGATTTTGCAAAAGGAACATCATAGTAAAACTCATTTGTAATTCCAAATACGGAACGATACAGCAAACCTCGTACATTTATTTAAAAAAGTAATAAAAGAAAATTTACGGCTTATAATAAGTGAATTATTAATTATATTAAACGAGAGTATTTAATTACATTAGAAATCAGTATGTGGCCATTGGAGTAAAAATCTGTATAGATTTATTACAATTGTATTATTATTATGTTATAGGGTTTCACCGGCATCACCCAAGAGTATGAGCGTCCCGAGGCTCCGGAGCTGGTCATCCAGACAGTTGGCCAGACCATCGAGGAGTCGACCATGGACGTCATACGAATGCTCGAGTCTCAGGTATGTTTCAGGGCTCGTAGAATAGGACTAAGGTATCTCCTGTCTGTCGTAAGAGGCGACTAAAAGGGGACACGGATTGGCAGCAGCTCGAAGTGGCCTCGAGCTGCTGCAAGATGGCGAGGAAACCGGGGAAGGTTTAACCCTTCTCCGAGGCGTGCTCACGCCCAGTACAGGGACACCGGTGCATTCCATAGGAGATCCCGGAGTCCCTCCAAACGTACAGAAGGTGGCCACCGAGGGGGTTTTAGTGGGTAAGAACCCCACATAACCCTGTCACAGGGTATCTTACGAAGATTTCCCCCCCGATACAAAAAAAAAAGTATGTTTCAGTTTAGTGCTTCTTATATTTTCGTTGTAACCCTTACGGTTTACTTTAATTGTTTTAAATGTTAACTCGGAAAAAATGTATGTGGTAGTTTCAATATTTTAGCAAATAAAGTTAATATTTTGTATTTTGATGTACCTTATAGTAAAACTAAAAGTAGCTGAACTACGCAACGCTACGTGATGGCTTTTTTCGTTACCTTTGAAACATCGGTATGAAATAGTTAATATTTTATATATAAGTATTATATACACAAATATAACTAAATACGATACTGCTTTCTATTCGCTCGCTTCGCTCGCGTTGAAACCCTTAAATAAATATCGTTCTTTAATCTTTCAACCCCTTACAATTTTTTTTTTCCAATTAAAAAATAGCCTATGTCCTTTCTCAGGCTGACTATCTGTGTACCCAATTTCATTTACATCGGTTCAGTAGTTTTAGGGTGAAAGCGAGACAGACAGACAGAGTTACTTTCGCATTTATAATATTAGTATGATTAAGAAGTGAGCAAGGCGGGTAATCCTGATTTGTTTTAAGTGATTATCGCCGCCCAAGGACAACACGTGTATGGTAGCAGATGCGATGTCAAACTTTTAAACAGTGGGCACCTGTTACCTCACTCCAAAGACGAAACTCAAACGTAGTACGTTTACTTCAGGCCGTTCAGTCTGGTCTTCAGTGAGCAAGAGCAGATGCCGTTGCATGACTACCACAGTTAAAAACATGAAAAATACCGTAATGTATTTTAATTTAGCGGGGGTCGATCTATGGGGTACTATCTATAACGAAGTCTGCAACCAGAAAGTGTCCAACAGGCATGAAATAAACATAGATTGTATACAGTAGTCAACATAATCGAGCGTTATCAAAGACAGACAAGTTGATTTAGTATGACCCCTTTTTAACTTCAACTTGTATCCGGAACACAAACTTGAAATGTGGGTTATGCCACTTATCTTTTTTATCGTTTTCTTAAGGAGAAAGTAGACTCCTCGAGAAGACCGGTGCGTAGTAAAAGTAGTTATACTTTTGCTTTTTGTCTCATGAACGAAATGATTTCTTCATTGATTTAGATAAGTTCTTAGGACAGCAACGCACTAGCAGCTGATAAAAGTGTCTACGCAACGAATATATAATTGTTACGTAATTTGTTTGTTCACCATCATCGTCATTTAAGCCATTTCTAGTCCCCTGCTGAACATAGATGTCTCTTCACCAAGCACGATCCTGAGCCACCCACATCCATCGAATTCCCGCATATTTCGTCGTCGATACCATGCGGTGGCAAGTTCGAGAACCTTCCTTCCCGTAGCTTATCGTCTTATATCAATTAGTATGCGGGAGCATTCATAGCAGAGCTAGCAACCTGAGTGCAAACCCCGGTGCCAGCTCCAATGAATTTGTCAATTTTAAGCGCTGAACTATCACGTGCCTAGCGGTGAAGGAAAACTTCGTGAGGAAACGTGCGTATTTTCGAAATAGTAACAAAAAAAATATTTCGAAGATACGTGAATTCTGTGATTCCACAGTGGGGTCGCGTGGTGGACTTTGCCCTAATACCTGTACAGGGGAGGATTATAGGCCCATTGCCACTTCAGCTTACCAATCTTCCGAGCTACGTCGGTTACCTTTGTTCTACTGCGGATATCTTTATTTCGAAATGTATCCACCCTATCGATGTTGCCTATTATTATGCTACTAGCCACCCGCCCCAGCTGCGCACGGGTGCAATGTATTATACACACAAACCTTCCTCTTGAATCACTCTATCTAGTAAAAAACCGCATCAAGATCCGTTGCGTAGTTTTAAAGATCTGAGCATACATAGGGACATACAGACAGCGCGACGACTTTCTTTTATACTATGTAGTGATTTATTACCAGGGTATCATTCCCCGCTCGGAAGCTAGCAATCAGGGCGTCGAGGAGCTCTTCATCTACGGCAACAGGCTGAGCAGCGCTATCGAAGAAGCCGCCAGTCTACCGCAGATCGAGATCACCACGGTCGACCTGCAGTGGGTCCAAGTAAGGCCTTTTGAACCGAGCCATTTAATTGTTGGAGGATTCAATTATCATATCTCGACGACGCCAATGTGTGGAGTTAATGCTGTTGATACTCATATAATAAGACTACTATACCTATATACTATGTATGCTATATTGTAAACTGATATTTTTGAAAAGGAGCAACTGTTGAGTTTCTTGCCGGTCTCTTCTCAACAAAAACTGCTTTCCGAACCGGTGGTACCTTAAGAGCCTATATATAGAGCTTTTTATGTAAAATTTTACGATTCATAAGAACGCACAAGCGTCTATTTGAATAAACATATTTGATTGAATTTAGGCACCCTCCAGGGTCACATGTAGGTCACAATCCACCAGTTCACAACAACAAATAACTGAGACCAGTTTAGATTTAAAAACAACGTTTGAATAGAAGATATTGAAAAATATTTTTGTGTTTGCTCTGCATCCTAACAGAGTATGTCTAACAAAATATGTTTATAGTTTTCTTGACCTTCAAGAAAACTATAAACATATTATTTTCTTCTTTTTACGAACTCATAATTACTTTATTATTATTTATATTTAATGTTATATCCCGTTATTATTTTTTATTTCAGGTACTGTCAGAAGGTTGGGCGTATCCTCTGAAGGGATTCATGCGAGAAATTGAATATTTGCAAGTACGTACGATAATATTACACTATTATATATATTATCCTTTACGACATAATTTCTTTTCATAAACGTAAGCGGTTGTTGCACACGACCTCTGTGCAGTATATCCATTAATTTATATAATTATGATGTATCTGTGTTCGATCACACTTTGATTAGGTGGTCACTTTTAAAATTAGCTTTGGGTATTCCCTGAATTCAAGTAAAAAACAACTCAAAAGTTAGGTGTACTGAAACTATGAACATAGAAATAAAATTGGATTGCAGATGGTTTACAAAAATTTTGCCAACACTATATACAAATTGATGCATAAAATATTGACAAATCTTAATATATACCTACTTGCGAAGTGCTACTGTTTTCTCAAATCATCATCTCTCAATAAACCAAAAAAAAAAAAACGACTGACAGGTGCGAAACTAGCACGTAATAATCGTATTTTAAATTTTTAATTCGACAAGGTGCCAAACGAGCTGGTGGGTCTCCCAATGTTACGGCGCTGTATGCAGTAAAAATAGGTTTTTGAAAAGATTTTTTAACAAAATCTATACATTTTATAGAAGTAAAAAAAATATATGTTAATCTTGATCTTACATTCTAATGGACCATTGTTTTCAAAACATTCTCGATATATTTTCTCGATAGAAAAAAATCAGGAACCTACCTCTAAACGTGAATTTCAAATTAAAAAATAGATATAATAAATGAACAAATCTTAATGAAATTAATATCAGTGGTGTAGTATATATTAATAAAAAGGACTGTTGTCTTAATTTGTTGATTGAAGTAAGATATTTGTAATTATTAATTTAATTCATTAAAATTAATTCGAACGCGATGGCCAAAACACCGCGCCACCGCCAAAACACCGTTGTTTCGGTTCTCTTCCAACTCCACACGTTGAACAGAGAGCGCTGAGGCGCCTTGATAGATGGACCTATGCCGCTCGTCGCCCGCTCACCGTTACGAAATATGTTTCATATTTATTTTTTATTGAGAGTTTTAATTTTATTAGACGTTCGAAAACACGAAACTAAAATATATATATTCACATATTTCGTATTTATAAATTATTTGTATGTATTCACAGTTGTTAATTAATTTATTTAAAGCATAATTTCAGTCTTCGTGATTGATTGGTCTATCAGTCCTATACATACAGTGTATAGGACCATTTTTCTTTATGGATTGGGTTCAAATCCCTAAAAATTTTGTTATACTTATTGTTGATTTTCTTATTTGGAAGTATTTCTTAATTACCATTTAATTATTGTTGATTTTATTATTTTCATAAATAATTACAACGAAATATTATTGTATTTGTTCAAAATTGAAACAGTTGGAGAACAATCTATCAGTAAATAAACTTCTAGTATTAAAAAATTTTAACGTCATGTATTTTTTTAATTAATTGTTCACCCTTAAACGAAAATTTATCTTGCACACGAATTTTTTTTTATGATTTGTTTATTTCCCAAATTGAGCTATTTTACAAAATAAAAACAAAATAATTAGTTGGCTTACAAATTAAAAGTGAAAATAATATAAAAAATATAACTTCACTCGATGAGTGGTTTGAACTAGTGACTACAGCAATAGTTTACCGTTGTGTATGACAGACTACGCGAGGTCTGTGTAAAGTGACAAAATTTCGATTCTAGTTATAATTGCTGTCGTTTATCGATACAAATAAGGATTTTATCGATAGTTTTTTAAATTTTTAAAAAATTTAGTTGAAAAAGTAATATAACATAGTAAGTCTTGAACATTTAAAGGATAAATTAAAATTTCTAATATTTAAAAAAATGTTATGAAAAAAGTTGTATTCGTAATTTCTGCAAAAATTTTATGAGCCATTTCTTTAAAATCACAATATAAATCATAAAAACAAAAATAATAATTATAAGTAATTTGCCTTTATTAATTTATTTGATTTTAAGATGTATTTTTAATCAATTCCTTTTGTATTTAATTAAAAAAATAAAAATAAACAAGAAGAAGATTTTCTAAAATTGTTGATTGCTTTCTCATACTTTATATTTGTTTGTTTATTATTATTCCTATTATAATATAAAAGTAAAATACAATCATGGTCTATAAAAGATATTATAGTGATCATCTATGTACATTTTCGAAAGCCTTATCATGGAATACTATCGATAGTATCCTACGGCCCACCACCACTACACACACACTAAGAAATTAATGACTTGGTCTAGCGGCGCGTCGACGAAACTCGCGCGCTGCGCGCCGCTAAGCGGCGTTATCCCTCCTCCACTTCCTCATACTTCACCACCCAAATTGTTAAAAACTCACTGCATACAGCGCCTTAAGTGATAACCGCTGCCCAAAGACATTTGCAACGCCCCATAATAGGGTTTGCAGATGCGTTCCTACCTTTAAGTAACACTTCCTTGCGTTTATCTGGCGAGCGTAGTAAACGGGGCCGATCGTTTTAAAAGCCGGCTACGCGGTGCCACTCCTCAGGACCGGTAGTGGCCGTGATTGTCACTTACCACTTTTTTTTTTTTATGTGACATAGTGGCAAACGAGTTGGTAGTTCACCTGATGTTAAGTGATAACAGCCGCCCATGGATATTTGCAACACCCGTAGGTTGCAGATGCGTTCCTACCTTTAAGTAACACTTCCACTTCACGCCCGTCTTCTGTGAGGTCGCGGTACTGCCCCGGACGGTCACGTAACATCGAAACTACTCAATAGACACATTGCGATAATTATTATGACGACCCGAATGGCGTTGTGGGTAGTGTGCCTGCCTCCTGCGCCAGAGGGTGTGGGTTCGATCCCCACTACTGGAACAATATTGTGTGATGAACATGGGGTTTTTCTAGTGTCTGGGTGTGTATATATGTATAATATGCATTAATTCTTAAAAAAAAAAAAAGAATGTTTAAGTATATTTATCAGTTTTCTAGTACCCATAGTACAAGCTTTGCTTAGTTTGGGACTGGAGAATGTTGTGTAAAAAAAAAATGTGTCCTAAAAATATTGAAAAATATCGAATTGAATATCATTCATCCTGCTTCGCTAAGGCTACGTTCGCTCTCGCGCAGGCGCTGCACTCGAACTGCCTGAGGCTCGCGGACGGTACGCTGGTGAACCAGTCGGTGCCGGTGGCGTTGCCAGTGACCGAGGCGGTGAAGGAGCGCGCTTGCGGCGCCGACGCGGTGGCGCTGCTGTACCGCGGCCGCGCCGTTGCCATACTGCGCGCGCCCGAGTTCTACCCGCACCGCAAGGTGGAGCGGTGCAGCCGCCAGTTCGGCATCTACCACACCGGCCACCCCTATATCAAGGTATACTTTATTCTACGCCGATTGTACTCGCTTGCGCCTCGTACTATCGCCCACGCTCTCTACACTCGCCCATGCCCTCTACATTCAGCAACGCCCCATACACTCAGGCAATTTAATCTACGTCCCCTACACTCGCCCATGCCCCCTATACTCGCCCATGCCCCATACACTCGCCTAAGCTCCCATAACTCGTCTATGTATTCTGGTATCTACTAAGCTCCCAAGAATTGCTCGTGCTCCTAGCTGATCAAGCGTTTATGTACGGCTCTCATTCTCCATTTAATCAATCTCTACTTCAATCATGGCTCCTTTTTGATCTAGAATTGCTACCACTCCTCTAAGCTTTAAAAAAAACCCTTGGATACATTTTCATTTCTTTTCGCAACCACAGTGTTCGTTTTGAATCCTTTTTAATGTTACCTTTTGGTGGGCGACAAATTTTAACAAACAAAACTTTACCGCGTCGTTAGTTTGACATTTCACCGTCATTCGTTCATCCAGAATAAGACGATGGAAAACTACATCAAACTTCTGCATAAATCTGTAGGCTCGTCCGGGGAAGTACGACGTTGGAAGTAAATTACACTTTTGCGTTTATCATACGTTTTTGTGTGTACTTACATACTCGCACGGCTATACATATTTAGCGTAACAAAGGACATAACTGAAAACGGTTGGCGCCCGCCCACTCCAGATGATCGAGGAGTCCGGCGACTGGCTGGTGGGGGGCAGCCTGGAGGTGCTGGAGAGGGTGCGCTGGCAGGACGGCCTGGACTCGTACCGGCTCACGCCCAACGAGCTGCGCCAGCTGTTCCGCGAGATGGGGGCGGACGCGGTGTTCGCGTTCCAGGTTCGAATCCATTTGTCGGCCGTTTTGTGGTGGTCGGTGCAGGATTTTTACGCGTATTTGGTTTCTGTTCGGAGGTTTCACTTTACTCGGTTATGCGAAACTGTTTCACGGATCTTATCGCATTTTCATTTGACTTTTCAAAACCCGACGTTTCGCACCTTTTCCCGCGTTCATGGTCACGGGACGGACTGTATGTTTTAGTTGTCAACTGGCCTCGTTACTGTACTCCGATTGTAGTGGTTTTCTATATTACTTTTATTTACATAAACGTTATGTTATAAACATTGCCCTTACTGTAGTGATAAAATTATCCTGTGTTGTATGAACATTTTACATACATACATTTCACGTGGACAAATACCCAGATCCTAAACATTTGTCTGTGGGTCTCAAAAATATTTGTCCCGTGTGGGAAACACACGACCTGCGACGCTGAAGCCAATACCTTGGCAATTGCGCCACGGAGTCATTAGAAATCTCATCAGAAATATCTTAATTTATTATTTCATCATCAAGCCTGGCTTTACGAATTTAAAATTTCTAACCACAATTAGCTCATAAACGGAAGGTTGCCCAAAAGTAATCTTGTTGTGTTGGATTGGTTAGTTCAAGGGAGAAAAATGTGTTTATTCCTTATGAATTTTTATACAATTTCCGTAATTTGGACAAATATTTTGTTACTGGCAGTTACGGAACCCCATCCACAACGGGCACGCTCTCCTCATGCAAGAAACTCACCGCCAGTTGATGGAGAGGGGCTTCAAGAAGCCCGTTCTACTGTTGCATCCTCTCGGTACGTACAATCACCAACTTAGGTGATAGGCTTGTCACATGTCTTTGGGATATTGGTGACAGCTTCGACTCGAAATCATTGTAAACGATGTCTCGTAAAGTCATTGAATGAAAATGAAAATGGACAAGAAATAACCTCCTTTTTGAAATTAAGATAAATTTTAATACAGTCCTAAACGGTTTAAATAAAGGACCACAAACGTTAGACAGGTCCGGCGCAAATAATATAATCTAGAAAACGGTCGTGGCTGCATATGCCTAGGAGTTGATCTCAAAAAAGTTAGTTCATTCTAAATACTAACTAATATTTCTATTAAACTTAGTGATAGTCTTTAAAGGAAATGTTGTTTTTTTTTATGTGCCAAACAATTATATTTGCCTAACGAGCAGACGGTTCACCTAATGTTAAGTGAATACCGCCGCCCATGGACATCAGCTACACCCGAGGGTTTGTAGATGCGTTGACAACCTTTTGAAAATTGGGCTCCGGCTACCTCACTCACCAAACGAAACGTTATTTGTTATACTTCCACTCTACACCGGTTTTCTGTGGGGGTCGTGGTACTTACCCGGACGAGCCTGGATGTGTAAGTCTGTCATATTTTTATATCAATCCGTAACATTGCAGGTGGCTGGACGAAGGATGACGATGTTCCATTGGAGGTCAGGATCAACCAGCACAAGGCGGTGCTCAGCGAGGGTGTTTTGGACCCGGAGACTACTGTACTCGCGATATTCCCCTCTCCAATGATGTACGCCGGGCCTACAGAGGTAAGATTTTTATAAATCATATCGGTTACAAGCAACATTGTATTTTGCGTACATGCAATAAATTCAAGCCTTATTACCGAGTCAAATTTTACTATCAATAATCTTTGTATCGGTTCAGTCGTTACGGCGTTTACTGTAGATATAATGAATAATACATAAATAAATAAATTAATATTTAGGATACACTTTTACAGAAAGTTCCCTAGTCCAAAACTAAGCAAAGCTTATTATACTGTAGGTATTAGATAACTGATAAACATACTTAAACATACTTTTTTCTTTTGTAAATTAATACATAATTATACAGAAAACCCAGATACTTGAAAAACACTATTTGTTCATTACACATATTTTTCCAGTAGTGGGGATCGGACCCACAGCCTCTGGCGCAGTAGGCTGGTACACTACCCACTACGCCATTCGGGTCGTCGAAATGTCATGTTAGTTGTCAAAAGGATGGTTAAACTGTTTGTATTGATCATTCCGGTCAATTCAGAGTTTAGCCATCGTTTGACGTCATTGTGCAGGTGCAGTGGCACGCGAAGTGCCGCATGAACGCGGGCGCCCACCACTACATCGTGGGCCGCGACCCCGCCGGGCTGCCGCACCCCGCCGCCGCCGGCGACCTCTACGACCCGCGCCACGGCGCCATGCTGCTCGCCGCCGCGCCCGGCCTGGCCGACCTCGAGGTGCCCACCTCCCACTGCTACCTCCCACTGCTACCTCCCACTGCTACCACCCACTGCTACCTCCCACTGCTACCTCCCACTGCTACCTCCCACTGCTACCTCTCACTGCTACCTCTCACCGCCACCTCTTACTACTACCTCTCACCGCTACCTCCCACTGCTACCACTCACTGCTACACCTCACCGCTAACTCTCACTGCTACCTCCCACTGCTACCTCCCACTGCTACCTCCCACTGCTACCTCCCACTGCTACCTCCCACTGCTACCTCCCACTGCTACCTCCCACTGCTACCTCCCACTGCTACCTCCCACTGCTACCTCCCACTGCTACCTCCCACTGCTACCTCCCACTGCTACCTCCCACTGCTACCTCCCACTGCTACCTCTTACTACTACCTCTCACCGCTACCTCCCACTGCTACCACTCACTGCTACACCTCACCGCTAACTCCCACTGCTACCTCCCACTGCTACCTCCCACTGCTACCTCCCACTGCTACCTCCCACTGCTACCTCCCACTGCTACCTCCCACTGCTACCTCCCACTGCTACCTCCCACTGCTACCTCCCACTGCTACCTCCCACTGCTACCTCCCACTGCTACCTCCCACTGCTACCTCCCACTGCTACCTCCCACTGCTACCTCCCCTTAACTCTAAACTCAAAATTTTACTGTACAAGATGTACAGTAAAATTTATATAAGATGTACAGTAAATTATGTAGATATTTATTAACGTTTTTTTTTGTTATCTCTACTATAACTACTATCTTATACCATACTATACTATATCGTTGGATAAAACTAAAACTGGCTTACTAATGTCAGTTAGCAGAAGAAGAAGTTCAAACGGACCAAGATAGCTAAATAAAATATTTATTATTATGTTATAAATGTATGTTTCTTTAGTTTAAAACTGGCCAAATAAATGCTGTTGGTAATTCATTAGGAAATCAGATACATTGGTTACGAGTACCAAAATGGTTTATGTTCGAATAAAAATGTGGCAATCGCTATCCTCGTCTGACTAGTTATGTTACGCACTAGCTCCCTTTCACTTTCCTTAAATATTTACGATCTTTAATAGTCAGCAACCCTTATAAGAGGCCACTTTTTGATAGGCAACCCGGTATATATATATTCTAATCATAAATATACATTGTATTGGATTTTAGCATACACTTGATGAGCGCAGTTATTTTGCAGCCGGATCTAGTAATATACAGCGTGTCATTACAACCACGACAATAAATGAACACACGTCTAACGCTACTTGCCAATAATCATTAAAAAAAAACGTTAAAAAATCCATAATTAAAAAAATATTTTTCAAACAACTAATTAAATGAAAAAGAAACAAAATTTGTAACATTCCTATACAACTATAACTGACTGGTTCATACAGTCATAGACTTTTGCTTTATATAACGACTGAATTCACAGGACTGGCGAAGGCTGGTAAGGAGCCGCCGAAAGGATTCATGGCGCCGACCGCTTGGAAAGTGCTCTCCGAGTATTACCAGTCGCTGAAAGCGAAAATGGACACCAACTAGTTAATGTCCGAGAGGCAACCAATCGCTGATTTGGAAACGAAAGTATTGTGTTGAATTAGTTGAATAATGTATGCGTTCATATTGTCAAACGCACCGGACATATTTACATTAGCAGACATGATAGACGACAATTCACTGACCATCAATTCGCCCCAAGACAGTTATTAAATTTGAATATAATGCAATTTTAAATTTTAAACTTTATCAAGTTGATTTTATGACAAAAAATCAAAATTTTATCGTTTTTCTTTTACACATGAAGAAATATGATGTACAATTCTATTCTTTCTTATTCAATTTATATTTTATATAAAAAATACTATCTATATTTCAAGAAAATGTCGATAGTATAGAACATTTTAAAAATATCTTGTTATCACTAGAAAAGCATTTTACACATGTAATTAAAATCTAATATTTACACAGTACATTCCTCGTTGATTTTATTTTATTGTTTTTTTTAATTATGTAAATATGTGTAGAAATTACACATTCCCATTTACAAATATTTCTTTTATATCTGTTTTAAATACTACGATATTTTCTTTTGTATTAATTGTGTTAGTATTATTGCTTGTGCGAAAATGCAAAATGTTTATATAAACAGTAAATTTATATATATAAGAGATTTACTTATTAAATTGTTGTAATTTAAACCTAATGACGATGGTGCTTATAAAGCTATTTGTTTTATTTAATATACTAATAAATGATAACCAGCAGTTTCTTCTGAATAAATTTTATTATCGCTGTTATTCGAATTATACATGTGACGAACTTTTATCATTCAGTGTTACTTCTTTATTCCCAACGCCTTTTTTACTACCTTTTAATGTCATTAATTGTTGATTTGTGTTCCACTAACATTCTAACTCTGGAGTCTTCTATTAGTCTCTTAAAATATTATACACTTAGGTCTTGGCGGTTAAAGATTTTAAGAAAAATTATGAATAGATTTTTTTTACCTCTTCTCATCCCGCGGGTGTCCCAAGAGACTAAGGCCCGATATCCACCAAAGTGGAGAGGAGGCGAGCAGATGTGTTTTGAATAACCAATCAGATTTCGTTATTTCCACATATCTCTGCTTAGCTTCGGTAGAAATAGCCACGCGGAGAGGAGAGATGTCACATTTTTGAAGTGAAACTTCTAATGCGACTTATAATGGAGGGGGTATGACAGCACAGTTTCGTTAAACGCTCAAGTTCCTAGGGAGGGGGAATAGAAAGAGACGAAGAATAGAGAGAGAGTGAAAGTGAATGCGTGGCACTCTAAGTTTCACTTCTTCTTCTTAATTTTTTTTTTCTATAGAATTTTGTGTCGTAATCTAGCAAACAGCGCTGCAAAGCAGAGATATGTGTAGTTAGGTGGCGCCCGTGCTCGCCGCACCTCGCACATCAAAAAGCGTCGTTCGATTGACTTTTAAAAAGAGTTGGTTCGTCCGAATGTGACACTTTATATGGTTTCTTAACCAGAATCTATGTTTGCGTCGATAGTTTAATTATTGACGAATAATTATGTTTCTTCAACTTCCAACTTCTTTAAGCAAATAGATAGATATATTTAAGTAAAAGCGCTTACTGATTTCGAGCTCTCACAGCTCACATCTCTCCTTCGATACGCATCTCTTTGCTTTGGTGGAAATAACCTGCTAGCTTCGCAGCACTTCTCTAGTCTCCTCTCTTCTCCGCTTTGGTTAATACCGGGCCTAACGATATACCACAAACATCTATTGGCCTCCGATAGATGGCGGGATAATCTCCTCGTATTGGAAATTAAACTGTGCTTATCAGGCGGAAAAAATAAGTCTGGGTGTTAGACTTTTTACTGTGGTAATCTGAGGGCATCTTCAGCTGTTGCATGAATGGGAAGCTCATCCGGGGAAGTACCGCTGCTTCACAGAAGACCGGCGTGATGTGAAAACTACTTCCGCGTTTCACCTGGCGAGTTGGTAACCACTTTTAAATTGGTCGAAAACACATCGGTATTTAGCTAGTCACTAACTAAGGTGAAACGCTTGGTCGCTTGCCAACTTTTTGCATAAAAAGGCCTATTGTTCAGTCGACTATCTCAGATTGAACTGATTGTGGTGAGACCATTAAGATAAGCCACTGTCACAATGCTTAGCCGGAACAAAGAGGGCAATATCTGCAGGCCTACTTCCGACAGATTCGAGTTCTGAATCAATCGAGTTTGACTCGAATTGATTAAACTTCGTACCACTGAATAGACACCAGCGCACAATCTAGTGGTGCCTCTGATGGCAACTTCAAGATCGAATAATTTTTCGGAAAAAATTAAGTCATTAAAATTTTATCTAAAAAAAGATGTTATAACGGTAAACATGGAACATTTGTTTGTGACGTAATAGGCCGGATACAGTTAACATATTTGATAAAGCACGATCTTGTTTGGATTCGGTTCAGGAGTAAGCTCTTCAAATCGAGTTCGAATCAAGAGTGAGCTCGAATATAAAACAAATTCGAATCGAATTTGGGGAGTAAGACTGCTGGCTTTTGTGAAACATGTTTTTGCTTTACTTTTCGCCGATATCAAGGTAATTTCGGTCTAACTCTTGAATTGTCTACGTTTAACCTGCATCCACTATGATAGAGTCACGTAGCAGCTTCTTTTAGATGAATGGGCTGGCTTCTCCAGAGAAGTACCACACACTTACAGAGACTGAGAGTGACATACGTATAGAGACTTTAATTTTGTACTTAAAGCATTAAAGAAAAGGTTTAAATTGGAATGGTGCTACATTCCAATTTAAACCTTTTCTTTAATGCTTTAAGTACAAAATTTTGGCTCGTTTCTGCATTACTGTGTGAGTAGTCATCATCATCATTTTTAATAGTGGAAAACTAATTTCCTTTAAAGCCGCACTTTTCAAATGACAGTTGACAGATCACGGTCATTCGGGGTCATTGACGTTCCTATTCTAATGTGAAACGCATTATATCTATACTTGCTTTTTGCCCGCAGGTTCGCTCGCTTTCAACCCCTTAAATAAATATCTATCCCCTTAAGGAAACCGTTATGACCCTTTTTCCAATAAAAAAAATAGTCCTTTCTCAGGCTCTGACTATCTGTGTACCAAATTTCATTTAAATCGGTTCGGCAGTTTGGCGTGAAAGCGACACAAACATACAGAGTTACTTTTGCATTTATAATATTAGTATGGATTGCAATTTCAACGCTACAGTGTAATCCCTCTGAACTTAATCACATTAAAACTGTTACGTATTTTTTCGCAAAAGACATTGTTGGCTGCCTTGTCACTAGAATAGTTATATGAGAACTAGCTGATCGTTGTTTTGCCATTTAAATTATTTGTAGGGTAGAAAAAAATGTTTAGGGTGGACCACCCTTAACATTTAGGGGGGGGAGAAAAATAGATGCTGTCCGATTCTCCACCCTGGCCTATATGCAAACAAAGTCGGTTTCACGAAAATCGGTCGAGCCGTTTCGGAGGAGTTCAATTACAAACACCGTGTCACGAGAATTTTATATATTAGATTGTGCGGTCCGTATTACGTAAATACATGTTATAAATTACTTATAATTCATAAATGTTACTGTAACAAGTCCGTATCTGTAAGAAAATTTAAAATACCTATGATATGGTAATAGCGAAGTAAGGCCTAAATTCCATAATGGAATAAATTTTAACCTTTTCAGGGTTTAAACGTGTTTTCTAAGCAATTGTATGAACATACAAATCAACTGACATTATTTCATGAAAAGAATACCTAGTAAAATATTAACTTTCCATAAGCCATTATTCTCATGCTGTAGAGCTGCTGTAGTATTGATGATTTCTAATAGTGAATAAAAACGAGGACAAGCAAAAAAAAGTAAAGTAACCAGTAAGCCTGTACATCTCCCACTGCTGG